TTTGTCTTCCTTCACCTGTGGCACAGGTCTTGTCAGAGTTGCCTGTTGGGATCCATCATTGGGTTCGCGAATCTGCTGATCTGTTGGGTTTCTGGGGCTTTCCGAGAAAGTACCGTGTGGCCTTTTTNGGGGGGGGGGGGGGGGGGGGGGGGGGGGGGGGGGGGGGGGGGTGTTGAAGCAGGTGCGGTTTGGGGTCCTTGGCGGCGGAACTATCGTGATATTCGGCGTTGCCAATGGTGTTAGCTCGGGCGAAAGGGCGTGTGTTCGATTTGGAGGACGCCCGAGGATGTTTTTTGTTGGAGCGAAAATAAATTATTTGGCACTTTTGGTGCGCCAACCTGCCCAAATATTTCTCATTAATTTTTTTTTTCTCAATATGTATAATCCGGTGTTACTAATCGAACACATATGTGCACAACTCAACCCAACAATTCCTCAGTGCATACATACATACATCCTTGTGTAGCCTGTTATTTTTCGCGGCGGATTGCGCGGCGATCTTGTCCTCAACCGAGCATGGTTCCAACTTAGCTCTTCTACCTGGTTGGGTCACCACGTCACTTCGCCGCAGCGAGTCCGCCGCATTTGGGTGTTGTTGCTGAACTTCGATGTGGCAAAATTACGGTAAAACGATGCAATTTTAGGTCCATCCAATTTAGACTAGGTCCTTAAATTAGGTGCAACCTACAAACGTTAAAGCAGGCGGTGATATGCACGCACGTAGTCTATGCATAATGCACGGATTCAAGGCCATAATTTTTTTATATATATTTTTATATATCATCGTACATCCCGTGTATCAACCTACCCGCCCCCTCCGCTGCTGTAGTAGCACACGTCGGGGCCCCTGTCGGCTGCCGTGCTCAGCTGCTTTACAGTCGTACTGCAGAACAGCGCCCACATGCAACTTACTCGAAAGAAAATTCTCCGTAGAACTGCAGATGAAAGCGATGACGGCTTATGAATCAGCCGATCGAAAGAGCTATTTTGAGATTAAACACTGTCCAATCACTTGTCTTTACCGTATTCCCCCCCCTGCAACAAACTCATTTTCCCGCTCAAATAATCTATCAAACTCTGCACAATGATGGGCACGTGATCGCAAAGCGCGCACATGACCAGGCAACCCCCTTGTCCAACAACGAGAAGTCACATACTATCTGCGTTATACGCGACACCAAACCGCCGCAGTACGAACCAGGGTGCCTTGTCTTTTGTATCCTTTTCCTCTCCGCCGTTCACCTCCTCACTATCCAGCAGGCCACCAATAATTTCTTGGCTTAGACTACAGGGTACTTCATATGGTCTGTAAGTCCACACCCTGTCCAACGCGAGCAACATGTTGGTTGTCACCAACAGCCGACAGGGTAGGGTTGTTTTGTCCCCGATGTGGAATATGCGGCACTAGCAATGTGCCACCGCGTACGCCAATATCACAACGGCGGCACATCATTCGCCATCTCTCTGTGATATCCATCAATCTATCTGCGTGTCTTGTGCTCTCATACCCCCCACTTCCCTCCGTCCCTCCGTCCCTCCGTCCCTCCGTCCCTCCGTCCCTCCGTCCCTCCGTCCCTCTCTCTCTCTCTCTCTCTCTCTCTCTCTCTCTCTCTCTCTCTCTCTCTCTCTCTCTCTCTCTCTC